GCTGGGCACCAGGCTAACAGGTGCTGGGCACAGAGCATTGACATACTCAGAAGTATCAACCAAAACATGTTACATGAGAATCAGAAATATAGGAAATACATTACACATCCAGGGTGAATACAAGGTGGGTTACACTTTTGGGTTATGCTTGTATCCAGTGCTGTGCTAAGTAACCATCCCATCAGTGCAAGGATTTACACTTGTATAATGGGATTTCACCCACCCCCCAGCTTAGTCATGTGTGCCCTAAATGTGCTTGCCGAGATAGATACCGTATTTTTCGCCCTATAGGACGCACTTTTTCCCCTCCAAAAATGAAGGGGAAATGTGTGTGCGTCCTATGGGGTGAATGCAGGTTTTCGCTGAAGCCTGGAGAGCGAGAGGCGCCGGTGCGCACCGACCCCTCTCGCTTTCCAGGCTTCAGGAAGCTATCCGCAAGCCTTGCGAGCCCGGCGGGAGTTCCCGTGGGCTCGCAAGGCTTGCGGGCAGCAGCCCGCAGCCCGAAGCACGGGGCACCCTCCGGAGGGCGCCCCGTGCTTTGCACAGGTGTCCGCAAGCCTTGCGCGCCCGGCGGGAACTCCCACGGCTTGTGGGCAGCAGCCTGCTCTGGGGGCTGGGGTCGGGGGAAGCTCGGGCTTCCCCCGCCCCAGCCCCGCAGCTGGGGGGGGGAAACAATTTTTTTTTCCTTCAGACTTCCGTGGTGGTGCCCTCTGATCCGGAGGGACCAGCTCCACGGGAAACGGGTCTTTCCCGCTACGGTGAAGCGGGGACCCTTTCAAAAATCACAGGCGGATGAAGCCTGTGACCATGGGACTCGGCGGGCACCTTTAGCACTCCCCCAACCCGTAGAGGAACCCATTTACAGGCTCCGGAGCGAAGAGGGGAAAGTGGCGCGGTGCTGAGAGTCAACTGCTTCTTCCGTGGAGCGAAGCCGCACAGCCGTTGCCGGAGAGCGCTGCCTTTTTCCTGGGACAATTTGGCTTTTAAAACAATCACCTGTGAGTACTTTAATTTCAGACAATTGGACTTTGAATAATGACCTGTGAGTAGAAAGGAAAATTGGACTAAGAAATTCATCTCAATTTGGCACTGAAACGGGAAGGTCTAAACAGGAAGTCAGCCTTCCGTTTCTTGTAGATAGATTAAAGCAAAGACATGGCAAACTAGAGTTCAGAAAATCGCCTGTAAAGGATTAACTTTCATCATTTAAAATTGTTGAACCCCCCTTCGGAAGCAGGAGAAGAGGGGGGATTTTTTTTTCGGACTGTTTAAACCTGCAGAAAGAGTGTAAAGCAAAGTAATTTTCCACCGTCTTGATCCTGGGAGCGGGTGTCAGGACTGACGTTCTTTGGGAAGCTCATTGACCAGAGACAAACGTTTTTGACAGATAGTTAAAAGAAGAGAAACATAGTGATTCCATTGTTCTCCTTCGCATTTTAAAGGAACAAATATTGACAAAATATCTGAAAAATGAAACTTTGTTGTTAGATCTGCTTTTAAAAGAAAAGAACAAATAGAAGTTCTTCCCCTAGAGGGAGCCTGTGAAACTGTTACCAAATCTGAATCGGGGAGCTCTGCAGCTGCAGCAGATTACGATCGTGGGAATAGACTTCTGACCTTGCAGAACAATGTATTCAGAAGCACTGATGCGTGCCTTCGGCAAAACAAGTGCCCTACTGGAACAGCTACATGAGAAGACGGACTTGATGACTGTTGCGATTGGAAACTTCGGACAGGTAGTGGGTAACTATATAGAGCCCACCCAGGAATTAAATCAGGAGTGTACTCTGACAGATCAGATGAGGGAAGAGGATGTTGTTGAACCTCGGGCGCCAGAGATGGAGGGAGCTGTGGCCCAGCAGGAACATGAGTTGTTGGATTTGACAAATGAACTTGGAAAAAGCCAGGCTTGGAGAGATAGAGTTTTGTTTGGTTTGGAAATGGGGGGTTGGATAGACCCCCCCTATGCAGGGATGTTTTGACTTTCCAAGTCTGACAATGGGCCGTGAGATGTTTGGGGTTGTGGGGGCTCTCAATTCTGGAGGGATCTTGAAACATGTTTTTAAATACCACATGGAGTCTAGTGTGGACTATGGAAAAGGGGCTGATTTGTCGAGAAGGGTCAAAAACACTGTCAAGTTGGAGTTCCCACAAGTGAAAGGAGCAGGAGATAAAATAAAGTACGGGTATAAATATGAAGAAGAGCTGCGGAAGGGACATGGAAGAGATTTAAGGGCCTCGGACATAAGATTACCAGGTTAATGAGCTAAATGGATGGGATAGAAAGGACTGACAAAACCCGGGACCAGGAGGATGAGACGCTGGATGAAGATTGGAAGAAATTTTTTTTTATTAGGATTGTTTTATAAAATTGATGAATGTTAGAAAAATGTTGGAACGAAATTATTTGGCTTTAGCAAAAATGTTAAAAGAATTATGTAAGAATATGTTATGGTTATGAGAAATTGGTATAAATAAGATCTAAGTTTTAAGTTTTAAGGTCTTTTATAGTAAGATAAGGTTAAAATAGATTAAGGTAATGTAATGACAGAATATTATGAAAAATGGAAAGGATTTGCTGTCACTATTAATAACTAGGATACAAAAAAAGGGAGGAGTGAGGAGGTCAAAGAAAGAAGGTAATGACAGCCAAGGATATGAGAATATTGGATTTGTTTTTAAATTTGTGGCTTATTTTTGTTTTTTGATTGTGTTCTGTTACGTGCTTTGTTCTTATTTTTTGATTTTGATTTTTATCAATTTGTATTGTTTGATTGTGGTTTGTTTTTCTTTTGTTTTTTCTCTTTCTTTTTCTTCTCTGTTTTTTCTGTAACTTTAAAACTCTTAATAAATATCATTTTAAAAAAAATAATCCCCCCCCCTTCATTCCCCCCCCCCAAAAAAAACGAGGTGCGTCCTATGGGCCGGTGCGCCCTATAGGGTGAAAAATACGGTACCTAGTTATTTATTTCCCATCCTTCACCCTAAGGTCCAAAGGCAGACTACAGCATTAAAAACAATATTATAAACAACTTTTTTTTTTTTTAAAGGTGAATGGTAAAAGCATACCAACCTTCTTCAAGATGTTGCAGACCAATGATCAGGGCTGATGGGAGTTGTAGTCTGCAGGTTTGGGGCAGCACCTGGAAAGGGGAAGACTAGTTTATAGATTAGGATCCTAGTTTATATCTTCCAAAACAGATGATGATGAGATGAGCCTGTGGCCATTTTATGTGATACAACGAATCCATCACACACATTTTATTTCATTGCCCATTCTATATATAAAAATATATGACAAATATTTGGCCGCCTTATTGAAGGAGGGGTCACACTATCATACTGACTCTTCCAGGGTGACCTATCTGTTGAATAATTGTAGGAATGACGTTGTGGAGAATGTGGCAAGACTTTTAAGTGACACCATGTAATTATGTCACCATACCTTTGTATCTTAGGATGTCTGGACAGTTTTATCCGAAAGTACCTCCTACTGTGTTTTGTTACCTGTGTTGTGTTTCAATCCATGTATACAACATACTCTTACTATGCCAATAAAGGAGATTGATTGATGTGATACAAGAAAGTGGGGTATTGCAAGTTATTATAGGATCTGGCACCAGGGTCTTAATCAGTGGCCCTATATCAGGTACATGTTATTCTCACCTCCCCCCATTCAACTGGGCTAGATCTTCTCCAATCAACTGTTGACAACCCCAGCCAATAGAAAAGATGCAGGAAGGCATACAACTTGGGCTTCAGCCTTAAGAGAATGGGTTATTGTAGTACTGTTGAAGCTAATCCATAAGATAGGGTGTAGCTGCTTTTTAAATTAACAGATAAGTATGTATATTAATCCTAGGGAATGCAAAAATTCACTCAAACCTGTCCTAGCTGGGCTTGCATCCGAACAGTATTATGAAGAAAGAAATATGGAGTAGGCTAAATGCATTAATCCTAAAATGCTCATATAGTTGCCGTAGAAAATCTCAGTGCATCCTTTAGGAGCCATAACTCATGACTTGTACTTAACTGCAATGTTTATATTGCTAGGAGTCTGTGGATAAGGTTTTGCAAAAAATTGACTTAGAGAACAAATGTTCACTTGGCTTTTTTAATTGTAGCATTTTTCTGCCATGGCAGTATAAACCTGAATGAAACAACATCTTGAGCTGGTTTGCATGACATGGTGTCAGGGACTGGCTGGATGATGAGGTGTGGTGGGAGACACCAGCCAGGAAACCCCCAGAGGAGAAAGGCTCAAAGCCTGGGGATTGGTGGTGGGACACTGAGGAGGGATTAGAGGGAGACGTGTGGGATGCTCGAAGGGGTAACAGGATTTAGTGAGCAGGGAGAGCCTGTGACAGGAAGCAGTTCAGACTCAGAGGCTGAAGCAGGAGGCTCTAGAAGCAAACAGGGAACCTGCCTCTCCTACTGTGACAAGCTCCCCTCCCACCTTGTCTCCAAGGACATGGCCGAGTGGTGCTTAGGGCAGAACAAAAGAGATGCCCAGACACAGTTTGAGATTGCTTGGAAAACATCCAGCAGAAGAGTCTTAGAGGGGGTGGAAGGCAGGGACCGCCAGTCCTGGCAACCGCTCCATAGGGCAATACCTACCGAGAGTGTTTCTCATCATACGTTCATTGCTTTGAATAAAAAGTTAACTTCACTGACAACTGGCTCTGCTTCTTCGGCTGACCTGCATCTGACTCCAGCCCTGACATATGATAAGCCAAACTCTGGGTTACGAAGGCTGGATGAAGATGTGTGCTCACAGCCAGTTTGCTTCTTCACTGTCCAGTTTATTCTTGTCCCAAGCTAAGCTAGGTTAGGGTTTGGCTTAGCATGTTGTGTGAATCAGGACTCAAGGTTAAGCTCTCTTCTCACTAACTGTTATGTTCTCGACTCCGAGTATATTTCACTAACCAGGAGCTGTAGGCTAACCAGAGAGAAACTGCAAGTCCTGGCTCAAACGACATGCTAAGCAAAAGCTTGAGGAAGGCACATAGCTCAGTGGTAGAGCATATGCTTTGAATGCAGAAGGTTCCAGATTCAATCCCTGACATCTCCAGGTAGAGGCCTATGCCCCAAACCCTGGAAAACAGCTGCGAAGTCAAAATAGACAGTACTAAACTAGATGGACTAATGGTCTGGTTCAGTATATTTATGGGCACTGTCACTTTTGTATTTGCTCACACATAGGCCTCTTTAACCCTATTTCTTCATTAAGCTGCAATTTTTGCTAATCTGCACAAACATTTTCATTTAAATATGTGAACTTCAATAGGGGGAAAGCAGGCAGGGAACAAAGTTCTAATCTGGGGATATGAATCAGTTTGTATGGGGATTCACAGAAATAAATTCCTCAAACCTTTTTAAAGATACTGTAATTTGTCATTGTTATTTAATATCTGAAAGTAGGATAAACTTATTCTAATGTTTGTGAAAACAGTTTAGATGATAAGATCGCTAGTTTTCATGCAACCTGCTGTTTCAAGATGTCATTTTGTCATGAGAAGTGCAGTAATTTGGATGAATATATTGTTTCTGTGAGACTATCTTGACTGGAAAAGGGTAGCAAGTTATGAAATAGTCTATGTTGCCTCCTTGTGTGAATGTCCCTAACAAATTCTGCAAAAAGTGCCTTTTTTTTATTCATCAGCCTCAAAATAAGCAAAAACCTATAACATATGTTATAGTAAGTCATACATATAAATAAAATAGTGCTTCCATAATGGAAGAAGGGAAAGATGTTAAGGTTCTTTTTGTCTCCTTACATGCCGAATAAATAAAGAGCTGATATTTTAAATTAACAATTATAATGCCATTGCTATAGATATCTCTTGAAACTGCTTTATGTAGCTATTAATGCTGACTAAAGTGTTTAGAAAACAGGATCTCAGTTCTTCATATTTTGTGCAGATTGTTTTATAGCTGCATTAACATGGCAGTTTATTCCATTTTCATGACTTTTCCTTAACTGTTAAGTTCTGTATTATATTTGAGCTTTCACACAATATAAAAGTCACTTCTGTAGCTCATATCTGTGTTATTTGCCTCCAGAAAAAAACATCCATTTGCCAATAATGCGCTATATTCCACGATAGTTCTGGAAATGCCTTTTACACCGTACGAAATCTCAACTGTAATGTGGAAATTAACAGTTAAGAAAACCTTGTGAAAATGGAATAAACAGCCACGTGAATGCAGCCAAAGATTTTGTTGCATAGTTTGAGCATTTCATGAACCAGTTTTTATTGTTACTCTCATAATTGGCCAATAACTTCCTATTTCATGATGTATTGATGTTAAGGCGGGAAGATTCATTAGTGTTACTCATCTAGTGTTTCTTCATGGAGCATTCTTATGAATGTAGATAATGTGCAAAAAGCTAGTGGATGCTGAATTCTGCTAATCAGTGCATGTCAGTCTCAGAAGGAAGCTTTGAAGAAGTCACCTTCAATAGATGTAACTGAGCATTTACTTAGTGTCTAAGTCTTGATATTAATGACTTAGTCCTGTGACCCAAAGCAAGAGAGTTCATCAATGAGTCGATCCTAGAAGAGTCAGCAATTAAAAAAACAACATCTCTAATCATTCTTCCAGCCATATAGTTGATAACAGATATACAGATGTACTATGAAACAAATATCAGTCACTGGGACCTCGGTGCTTAATTATGGATTGTACAAGCAAGTTTACCAATTGCAGTAGGGTTTTGGCATGCCTAACTTTCTGTTTGTTGCACAATCTCTTAACCTGCATTGTAATTATATTGCTCCAGTCCATTGTAGTCTTCATAATTTGCCCTGTGAAAATCTTTCAAGCAAAGCTTGTATTTGCATATGTAAGTTCTTGTTAGCAGTACTCCCTTTGATTTTGTGTCGATTCATTTGCAGCATTTTAATGTTGCTTCAAGAAGAAGTATCAAATGCTTCCCTTGAAAGGGAGATTACCTCTTGAAATGAGTAGCAGTGCTAGACTTGTAAGGCAGAGTTCAGGAGGTCATTCCCAGGTGACAGAACAAATCCATAAATCACATTATAGCATCTGTCTTTAAAATGCTTTAAATCAATCTAATTAGTAAGCATAACAAGCTACACCCTTTTGGAATGATCATCATACCAATAGGCAATTGCTAAATTCACAGAACAAGTGTAGGTTAACCTACAATGTCTGACGTGCCCAATTAAGTCATTCCTTTCTATCAAAATCCCACTTTTTTCTCATCAACATGCCAGTGTTAAGAGTTTTAAGCTTTAGAAACACCATGTCCATCTTTCAGGAGTTTGATGACCACCATTTAAGTCCTATTTAATAAGGCACAGGAAGAAATTTCTGCTTCAAATCACCTGGGTGCATATGATGCTTCTCTTCAGGTGCCTTACACAATTGTTTCTCAAACTTGTGGGCATAAACACTGCAGCCCAGGTCATGCAGGAACTTTTTGGTTAGACCAACTATAGTAGCAGTAGCCCCAAAATTAGTAATAATAGTGGGAATGGAGGGGAAGGCTAACAAAACCGGAAGAAGTAGTGAATGTGGAAGGAGCAGGTAGGATGAAAGAAGCTGGCAACTTGGGATACAAGTTAAGTGTGACAGGAGATGAAACGATAGATGACTGAAAAATCCTTTGAAAGGCTTATGGAGTAGAAGAGGGCCCCATTAAACATCAGAACCCTCCCAAGGAAAGTTAACCATTATATGTATGGGAGAGGGGCTTACAAGGCTATATTAGCTGTACAATTATTCTCTAAACTGAATGGGTGTCATCTGCCAGATACATTTGAGTTAAGTGATACCTTTCTATGTAAGCGAAGAAGCAATTCTTCAAATACTGATAACACTGTGCCTACTGAAGATATCATCTGCACTGAATTTTTTTCCTAGTAAGTAGCAAGCCTGCTTTGACCTATTGGCTAGGTTTGATACTCCTTGGGAGGGTGGGACTGAGCCAGGGCAGGGTGGAGTAGAAAGGAGCAACACGCTGGAAAATTGTCTGCTGTGCTGGTTCCCATTCTTGGCTGCATTTGTATACCTACCTCCCTAGGAGAAATCTTCATTGAACTCAATGGGACTCACATACAGAATTCTTCACTTAACCTCACACCCCACAAGCACATATTCAGTCAGGCAGACCCACATATTTAGACATTCCCCTGATAGTCTGCTGATCAGCAGAGGAGTGTCAAAGTGTTTAATTCGCATTGTGACACTGGGCCACTGGATAGAAGAGGCTGTTCTCCTAACCCAGCTCTGCTTTAGGGAGGAAATTTTTTCCTTTCTTCCCATCACAGTTTTGGGCTAGGAGGAGTTGAACCTTTTCTCCTAAACAATTACTATGATGGGGAGGAACCCTATGCTTGCCTTAGGAAAGTGCCTCTTCTCCCTCTGCTATTGCAAGAAGGTCTTAGTGCTCATGTTTGCTTTCCTGAGGTTCTAAGACCAGTGTTCGAAACTCCCATTGTTCTAGGCGCATTTTGTGACAGAGAATTTCATTAGCACGAGCAGTTTCTGAGCTGTGGCCGCAGTACTGTGCCTAAGATTTCAGATTAAAACTGCAGAGTGGAAGGAAAGGAGGACCTTTTTCTTCCTCCTCACTTTCAGCTACTCCCTGAAGACTGGAGAAGAGACCCTCTTAAGAATATTAGGGGGTGGACAGGGGAGGGACTAGACCATGTGAAAAATGAACATAATATTTTAGCTGCTGTTCATTCATTTTCAGCTTTGTATTCTTGTTTTAAAAAAGTGCACCTAGACATTCCGTTGTTGCGCCCATAGCCTAGGTTTAAGGTACCATTTAGCTCCTAGCTCTTATTTCTCAGTTTCTAACACTGTCTTAAAGATGTTCTAGGAATGGCAGCATGCCAGAGGAAAGAGAGGTACTTTCCCGAGGTAAGAGGCTGCTGGTGGGCTACCAGAAGTTGGGCAAGATCCCGGTTATGAGCAACAGTTCCCCCCCCCAACTCCTACTGCTGTATAGGTAACAAAGGAAATAATGCATAATGTGTACAGTGTGACAAAATAATGCAAGGATGAGACAACATTGAAAGCAGAATTCTACTTAGCTTTAAATTAACATAGTTTAATAGTCAGATGAGCACTGCTGTTTAAGATACATGTGAAGAAGCATCAGTGGGTAACATTATTTAAATTGACATTTTTCTTGCTGATAAATAACTGATTTCAATCCATCCATCCTGTAATCTGTTATGGTGTTCAGCTGGGAGTTAAGCTGTTATCCGCAGGTTGGGACAACCCAGGACCCAGGACTTAGGAACCACATGCACTTGAAGGGTGGGATTGAGAATGGTGAGAAAACATCTGAGGCACTCAAATTCTTCCCCTTCATCATTCCAGTAACTGATGGAACTAGCTTCTCAAAAACCTCTAATAAGCACAACAGTATTTTGGTGGAATACAGTTCTCTAGGAAAAACAACATCCCTCTCCGGAGTTTTGAGTGGATGTGTGTGTGTTTGGAAGGATCAGTAGTTTTGGGGGTTTTTTAATGCACAATAATGAGTAAAGTAAGATGAGAGTCTCTTCTCTCAGCACCTCACCATGCAAACATGCCCTGACATCTAATATAGCGTTGGTGTTCTGAGCCACGTGGGCCCAAAGTGTAACATAAATAACGTCAGTTGAATTTGAAGTGGCATTTTATTGCTCATCACTACCTATTAGTTGATCAGACGTCGTATTCTTTATTGCTCCCACTCTCCTTCAAAAAAGATTAACTTCCTGAATTCTCCCTGGTGAGTGTAATTGTGTATGCATCTGTGCATCCGCATATATATTTGTGTGTGTGGCTAGTTTTTGTGGGAGGTAGGTTACCATTTTTACTCAGATGCAAGTCACATTATCTACACCTAGGCAAACTCTTTTACTTCGTGTTTATATCTTATATTTTAATTTTAAGCAAAAATGGGGCCACCATAGATATGTGCAGCGATGAGGGATAAAAATGTATGGCAAAGAAGAACCATGGTGAGATTGGCCTGGGATAGCCAGCAAAGGTCTAAGTATTTTTTTAAATGGAGTGGTTCCTCAAAGAGGAAAAAGTCTGGAG